TCAAAGAGCTAATAGTTATAGGTGCTCAAGTAAGGGGAAGTGATAAAAGATTAATATTTTAAGAAACAGTTGAATAAAGTTGAAAGACCAACATCAAAATCAGGAAGGAAATGAGAGAAGGAAAGAAGGAAGGTAGGAAGGAAGGAAGGCAAGGAGGGAGGGAGGGAAATAGAGAGGGAGGAAGGAAGGGAAGGAGAAAAGGAGGGAGGGATAATAAGAGACACTGCTTCACAAAGTTGTTGTGAGGATCAAATGAGATGTTTATAAAGCACTTAGTGTAATGCCTGGCACATAGTAAGTACTTAATAAATACTTGTTTCCTTCCTTCCTTCTTCTTCCTTCCTTCCCTCTTTTCCTGACTTCAATGTTCTTCTTTCAGCTTTATTTTATCTTCACAACAATCTTGAGAAGTAGCTTTTATTATTATCTTCATTTGACAATTGAGGAAACTGAGGCAGACAGACCTGCCTCTAAAACCAGTTTTTAAAGTGAACAAAATCTTTTAGAAAACTTTGAGGTAAAAACTTAAAAATAAATTTTTACTTTAAAAGCCTATAATGTTATGGGACATAATGAGCCATCCAAGTTCTATTTCTTGGATTCATAGTTGGACTTCTGCCCTAGGAACTTAGTTGTGATCAGTAAGAAGCACAGGGAATGAATGTTTTGATCAAGAAATCTTAACAGAGAAAAAGAAATATTTAGACAAGCAGAATCAAAACATTCAGTGGACTATTGTTGAACCCTCAAAAGGGAAGTTACACATGAAAAACACAACAGGAACCATCAAAAAGCTATTTAAGTGAATTGTAGAAACAATTTTCTTTAATAACTTTTTTAAAATAGGAAACTATGGTTCAAATGAAAATTGTGGATGGTAGACAAAGTCTGCAACTTTATCTAAAACCATGACCAACATATTATAAAGTTCATCTATTTTATGAATATGAAAGAATTTTTCTTTTCTTTTTGTTTATTTGCTATTGTCCAGTGCTGTTAGAGTTGTCTAAAAGTATACTGGGCTGCCTTGGGAAGTGTCTTAGTTTCTCCCTTATCAAATATTTTCAAACAAAGGAAGAATGACCAAATTGCCAGAGATATTATAGAGTATGGATTCAATATCCTTTAAAGTCTCTTATAATTTTGTGATTCTATGAATTCTGAAACACTGAATTAGGTAACAAATAATATAGGGTTAAGATTTGACCAGAGCTCAGTATTCTTTAGATACTTGGACACTCAGATGTCCCATATATCTGCCCAATAACTTAATAACACGAGAAATGATCTAATAAGGTTAATGACCCATTGGGAAGGTAAAAGTAAACTTCTATTAATGAGGCATCTGAAACTCTCTTCTCGGTGTGTAATGAGGCATTTTAAAATGAGTTAGAAACTTTAAAAGTTGACTATCTTTAGAGGGGGAAAAATCTCCATACTTAAAACCGCATTTACAACATGATCCAAAATCCTAAATGTTTTCTCTAAATGACTTCCTCTGGGGACAGACAGCACATTAAAATGGTTCTTTCCATTACGTTGAAAGCAAGTGGCATTATAATTCCAATGGGGTCCAAACGTGTGTGTGTGTGTTTGTGTGTGTGTACATGAGCATGTATGTATGTTAGGGAGGAATAAATTTTTTTTAAGATTCCAGGTTTTCTAAATATTCTTGCTAAAAATAAGCAGTGGTTGATTTTCCAAGTAGCAAATTTCTCTTAAAAGAAAGCTTATCAACAAGCCTGCCATTCATAATTCGTAAAGTATACGTTCCCCAAAGATAGGGAGCTCAATATTTTGTAAGACAGCTCATTCAATTGTTAAGCAACTTAAATTCTAAGAATTGTAAGAAAGTTCTGTCTATATGTGGAACAAAAATCTGATTCCTTGTAACTTTAATTTTTAGTCCCAGTTTAGTGTTCTGGTGAAAACACCTAAATTCTTCCCAAGGGCCATAACGTTTCAAGTATCTGAAGACAGTTACCATATGCCCCTAAATCTTATCCCATGCAAACTAAGTGTCCTCAGCTCACTTGACTGTTCTATAGTAGAAAGCGTACTAGACTTACAAAATCGGACGACCTGGTTTATTTCCCTTCCCCAAATCACAGAATGAGTGTGTTGGAAGGAACTTCAGCAGGAATCTAGTCCAATTCAGACACAGAAGAAATCCAAATTATAACATCTTTCTTCAATTTACAGTATTATCTCTAGCAAGTCACTTTATCTCTCTAAGCCTCAATTCCCTCATGCATAAAATGAAAACTTTGGGCTAGATGACCTCTAAAATCCTTTCTTTTTCTAATATTCCTTGGTTCCTTGTGATGTGATTTTAAGATTTCTTACCATCCTAAGCAATAAAAGTATGAGGCAAAAAATGCTCCAGATACTTGCGCAGGGGATTTTGGAAGGGTCTGAATTTCCTCCTCAGTGTGACCAATCTTCTATCACATGCCGTTTCCACCCCCATCCTGTTGCTATGGCACTACAATCTTAGGCTCACCTTCCTCTCTCTCAAACCTCACAGGAGTGACAGCTAGACTACTCTCCTCCTGCATTTGTTCTCATGGTCATTCTGCCTTCTATGTTTCTTCTCCCCTTCTCTAATTGTTTTCACCCTAAGTAAAAAAAAAAAATAATTAAAGCTTTATTACTCCCCTACTTCCCACCTATATGTTGTCAAAGTGTCTCCTAAAGTATGATGTTTAGAGCTAGAATGTTGAGGTTTTAGGAAGAAAAAATACTAAGCTTTTTTCTCTTAACAAGGCTGCAATTTATATTGTCTCTCACAGAAGTTAGTGGATAATTTGGTTTGTAAACAAATACAAAATGAAGCATCATAAATTAAAGATAAACTATTAATTAAGTAATAAATTGTATGGTCCAAAAAAAAAAAGAACTAGGTATATTACTCAGAGGCAGCTAAGTGGTACAGTGGATAGAACACTAGACCTGAATGAAGCCTGGAAGACCTGAGTTTAATCTAGCTTCAGACACTTAATGTGGTGTGATCCTGGACAAGTCACTTAACCTTTCCCTGTCTGTTTCCTCAACCATAAAATGAGGATAATATTAACACCTGCTTCCCAGAGTTGTTGTCAGGATAAAATGAAATAAGATCTGTAAAGCATTTTACAAACCTTCAAGCACTATATAAATGCTAGTTATTTCTGTTGTTGTTATTAATTTTTTTTATTATTATTCTGATATGGTTTGGTCAGCACCCAAGACAGTGGGAATGATCTCCTTTAATTTGGACAAACCTATTTCTACATTAAAAAAAAGAAGACAGTTTAAGATAGTATCTATCCATTCTCAGAGTGGAATAGTGAATAGAGAGTTGACTTCAAAGTCAGAAAAACCTAGGTTGAAGTCCTACCTCTGACATATACTTTCTATATGACCTTGGACAAGTCACTCAACCTCCCAAGGCATCATTCTAAGACTATAGATTACAAAGCCAAGTAAAGCTTTGCATTGGAAAAGAGAGTTTCCCCATTGGGAGTTCCTTACTCCAATGAAATAACAGGTCTTAGTTTTTAAAAATTCATCAGTCCTTTTAAATTTGCAGGGTTGTTTTTTTTTTCCTATGTGAACTGCTATCAAGACATTTCCCTCCTGTATTCATATGACAAATTTTTGTATCAAAAGTAAAACATCATATTTATTACTGAAAAATTACTGTGGATTTTGGCCATCATTCTGAGTGAAGTCATCTTGAGCCCTGATTCTGTTATCCAGCTTATAATTCCCTTTCAGCTTTGTGCCATCTATGAATTTGATTGGCATGCCTTCACTCTCTGCCTTCAGCCAAGTCATTGATAAAAATGTTGAACAATTCAGGGACCAAGGGCAGAGCCCTCCAGGCATTAGAGACCTCCCTCCAATTTGACAATAATCCCTTAATCAGCATTCTTTGGGATAAAACTGTCACCCAGCCAGCAATCCACCTAACATTCTTAAGCACAGACAATTCCTACAGGTTCAATTTTCGCAGAAAAGGAGTTTATAAATCCATTCTAGATCTCTCCTACATATAATCAGATTATAATCATGGCAACTGAGTTTAAATATATTTCGGTATCCAGATACTTAAAGCCTGAGGCTATAATTCTTGAACAAAGTAAACGCCCTCATCTCTTTGTCATGCTAATTGTTTTATTCTTGCACATTGTTTCTACAACATCTGCCAGACCGAAGCTCTCTCCCCCTTCTATACCTCAGCTGAAAAGTGGGCACCAATCTCTTTCATAATGAACTAAAGGTCAAATTCTTTTCAACCAGCATCCAGGCAGCAACCAAAGGGCAGCTAGCTCAGGAAAGAATGAAGTTGCTCCAGAAGAAAATCTTTAAGTTGCTGATGGCACTATTGACTCTAATGATCTCAAACTGTCTGCAATTTTATTAATTTTGTTTTTGAATGGAAGAGGGAATGATAACAGCTCTGGCTAAGATAGACAGAATGTGGGCAGATGCTGTTCCCATTTCTGCACACAGTTTCACCAAGCCATTTTCCATCTTTCCTAACATAAAACAAAGTGAAGACAAGTGTTATTGCTTATGCTACCAGCTACCCCAAAAGCAGTGGAGTTTATTGTGTGCTCATTTCCTAGATAAAGTATTCAAACTACACTACCTAGATGAAAACACTCAGTGCTTCCAGAATGAAATTGATTTGCTGTTAAGCAACCTTATAAAACACTCATAATTACCAAAACCACCATTGAAATGGCAATTTGAGTCCTTATATACAAATGCCATCCCTGTTACTCCTAATTCAGCAGAAACCTTACACAACGTCCCATGTTTAAGCATCTAAATACATGAATAGCAGCTTATGCTCTGTAGGGGCTCATTCCTCTAATGTGGCTCGTAAAGCCTCATTTCAAATATGGCAAGAAGAAAAGGCAAGTAAGCAAAAAATAAATTCAATAAAGACGAGCAATGAAGTCTCCTCCAGTAGATACTTCAAGGGACAAGTTAAAGGAACAAAGGCCTACCTTTGGAGACTTTGGTGGATCCATGATATTTATCTTGGGAGGAACAAGAAAATCTGGTTTCTTTTCCATTGTGGAGGGTTTTTTGGGGGGCCGAGGTGGTGGGTGTAAGGCTAGGTTTTCATACCTCCTCATCATGTAATACTGTTCTTCACTGATCTCTTCTACGATGGCTCGAACTGGAAATGAATCAATGACATCAACTGTACTGCTAACCAATTGGACAGACATGCCCAAACGGCTAACAGGGATCTCCCAGCTCTCACTGGGGTTAGTGAGGTCACTGATGAGCAGATAAGAATCTGTGATCTCTTCCTCCAGCTGCAGGCCAGGTGTGGCAGCCAAAATGTCATCTTCAATAGAAAGGTCCCTCACAGAGACCTTGACGTTGAAAGGCAAGCGAAACTGAGTACACAACTTAGAAAGTTGGTACTGCTTCTTGTCATGAATCACTTCTATGAAGCCGCCTTCCATGTACAGAGGTAAAAGAACAGGCTCATAGGCCTTTTTGAGGATTTTTTCACAAGCCAGAACACCCACCTCCTTTTTGATCCCCTTACACAGAACTTCACTGGTCTGTGAGCACTGAACTAAAAACTGGTCCCCCACAGACACAGACGACAGCTCCTCATAAGGGGAATCAAAGCCTTTCGTGGCTACCACATGAAGTTGCTCATTATCACTCTTCACTATCTCCAGGTCATAGGCAGTAGGGAATTCCCGAGGTCTCCGCTTGAATTTGCCTTTATAGCTAGTTGGAATCAAGAAATGCCTTTTGGGGGAATCACTTCTAATCTCTGAAGCTAAGATCCTTGATGCCTGGTACTTTTTGTGGATGACAATGGTTTTCCCAGGTTGCAATAAGCCACTGGCCAATGGATTCCCTTGAGGTCCTTCTATCACTTCAACTGCCATAGGGAATTCCTTACTAGTCTTTTCAAAAAGATCTTCAGTGGATAGGAGCTGAAGGAAACACTTAGCATCGTAACAGTCAGTTATGTCTTTAACTTCCACATCAAGATCAGAGAGGATGCGAACTATATCCTTTCGGACTGAAAAAGCAAAAAAAGAGAGAAATTTTGTGTTTAAATTTGACCTAGCCATATTTCTTGGGTAATGTTATATCATTAGAGTGCTTCCCAATACCATATACAAATATCTTCTTTCATATATATATATTTATGTATATATGTATGTATGTGCATGTATATATATATATCCCAAATGCTACATAATCTTATGTTTCTTAACATGCATGACTTTCTATTTCATAGAATCATAGGTAAAGATCTGGAAGGGAACTCAGAGGCCAAATAGTCCAACCCCCTCATTTTACAAATGGTCCCAGGGAACTTAAATAACTTGCCCAAAGCCACGTGGATAATGATCATTAGTGGTGGGATTTGAACTCAGGTCCCCTGACTCTTAGAAGATAACTCTATTTCCATTATACCAGGTCCATATTAATATTTATAGGGACATATCCACTGATGCTTTATAAAAAGTGAAGCACTGCCTGTGGAGTGAGAGGACCTGAGTAAAAATACCACCCCTGACAATTACTAAGTCCAATAATAATCTTGAACAAATCAATTAACTTTTCTGGTTCTCAATTTCCTCATTAGGAAAGAAAGGGAGTTAGACTAAATGGCCTCCAAGATCTGTTGTAGCTCTAAATCCTATGATCCTTTGGAAACAACAGCAAATAAAGCCCCCAAAGCCCAGACAAACCCAACAAAAACTACTTTCTGATGAAGAGGATCATTGCAAAGTCCCACAGTAAAAGCATTTAAATGCAGAAAAAGATTCCAGAGAGACCTCAATTATATTTTCAATAGTTCACAGACATTCTGTCAATCTGCTACTGCTAAGATGACTTTGAATAGTAGAATTTTGACATGAATATTGACAAGAAGGTCAAAAAAACAGGACTTTGCCCACTGGAGTCAATTCCATTCTAGATCCAATCATGGACCTGGTATGAACTTTCTTTTGCCATTTAGCAGCTATGGACTTGAGTTTTCCCATATATAAAATAGACTTGAATTACATCAAGAAAGATCTAGGAGAAATGCTACTTCCCTATAACATAATAAGGATGTTGGTACTGTTTTACAAAGACAACAATACTGTTTTCGTGTAATATAATGATAACAATATAATTATTTTCTAGCAAATTTTAATGATAATGTTATCTAACAAAGATAATGATACTGAGCTGTCATCAGGGCATATACTTTGAGTTATTTTCCCAGGGCTGGGGACAGACATACAGTGATTCATCTAAAATGTCTCGCTCACATTCTTGTGACCATGGCACACCTCTGAGAAATAACATTGTTAGTTTAAAGCTAGGGGCTGTGGCCTTGCAACCGAGTAAGGCTAATATTGAAATCCTAATCTCTGCCTTATTAGCTCTGCGTTATAACGAAATGTAGTAACTGGACTAACACAGAGTGATCTCATTACTGCTATTAAGCCCCTAAACAAAAAGCTGGAAGCCAAGATAAGCAGAACTGTAATCCTTTCCCAGGGCAGCTAGGTGGTAGGATGAATAAAGTGCCTAGCCTAGAGTCAGGAAGCCTCATCTTCATGAGTTCAAATTGGACCTCAGAAACTTACTGACTGTATGTCCCTGAGCAAGTCACTTAACCCTGTTTGCCTCAGTTTCTTCACCTGTAAAATTAGCTGGAGAAGGAAATGGCAAACCACTCCAGTATCTTTGTCAAGAAAACACCAAATGGGTTCACAAACAATCAAACATGACTGAAAAGTGATTGAACAACAGCAAAATCCTCTTCTCCCTCAAAGTGGTAATGCTACATCTGGCTTAAACTCTCAGGAAAATGAAACATTCAAGGTTTTGATAAGGCAAATTATATGTATGTGAATATATGCACATATATATACATACATATATGCACACATGCACACAGATATAATTTTATATGTACATATATATAACCAACTCATAGGCATAGAGTTCAATCATCACATATGTGTATATGTATATATGTATAGATTTGAAAATAATATGGATTTCACTTTTAATTAATTCTCTGAAGTCAATAATTTTTTCTGACTCAGAATAGAAATATAAGTTGACTCACTGGAAGAACATTTAATATCTCTCTGTTACGCTTTAATTCACAGTTCCTAATTTCCATGTATTGTCAAGTTATTTTTACCTAACCTTTGATTTTCCCTAGTCCTTTCATTTCTATGAATATCTTAAAACTACTCCTGCCTCTGGTCTTCAACCTAATCTAAACCAAAAATCATTCATTAAGAACCTGCTATTGAAAGGCATTGTGTTAGGTACTGGGACAAAATGAAAAACTAAATAAAAATCTATCTCTGCCCTTGAGGAGCTTACAATCTACTCGGGTAAAATTTCCCTGGGTGGTTTGGAATTTATTTAAAGCTTTGTCATAAACTTTAATAAGTTTCAAACTACTTTTTATAAGAATTGAGTTAGAAACTAGACCTGTGATTTCATTAATTTTAGAAACTCCTAGATGGGGATACTCCCTTTACTAATGAAGGAAACATTACCTTTTCTGTAACTTATAGTCTTATAGAGTGTTATCTGGAATACTATGAGGTTTAATGACTTGCCCAGTGCCATATGATCAACATGTATCTTAACCGTGGTCATCCTAACATGAGGTTGGCATTCTAGCCAGTATGCCATGCTGGCTCTCAGATTCTTTTCTAACTTAAATGTTTTATAACTCTTTCGGTACTATTTGAGGACCCACCCCAGAGATAAGGGATCCCAGTGACAGCATTAAAACAAACTGCCTTCCCTCTAACATGTGTTAGTCTGTAATCTCATGATCATGGAAACATAGAATCTTAAAGATGAGTAGGATATTACCCACCATAATTAATCATCATGGTATTATTGCTATACTTTATGGTTTTCTAAGTACGTAGTATCTCATTTGATCCTCCTAACAATCCTTTAAAGCAAATAGGTGAAGGAGTATTATCCTTATCTTGTAGGCAAAGAAACCAGGCCTCAGAGAAGCAAGGTGCTTTGCCTAAATTCAAACAACTAGAAATTGAAGAGCTGGCCCTTTAGCAGGTCTTTTATTTCCAAGTCCTATGTTCTTTGCACTTTATTATACTGCCTCAGAAGTTATCTAATCCAATCCATTAATCTCATCTATAGCAAGGAGGTTAAATCAATCTATACTTACAGCAATTAATTCAGGCTATTCACTGGAAGGTCAAAAACTAAAGCTAAAGTTTAATACTTTGGCCACATAATAAGGAGAGAGGACTCATTGGAAAAGATCCTCATGTTGGGAAAGATTGAAGGCAAAAGAAAAAGGGGATGGCAGAGGGTGAGATGAATAGATAATATCATGGAAGCAATGAACATGAACTTGGACAGATTTCCAGAGATAATGGAGGATAGAAGGGCCTGAAGTGCTATGGTCAGACACAACAACAGCAAGATGACATCTTGGCAAATGATCATCTGGCCTTTGCTTAAATATGTCTAGTCCAGTCATTCTTAACTTTTTTTTGTGTCATGGACCCCTTTGGCAGTCTGATGAAACCTATTCACCTCTTCTCAGAATATTTTTTTAAATGCATAAAATTTAAAAAAAAAGAAAAAACATTGAATTACAAAGAAAACCAATTGTACTAAATTGTTACCTAGGACGTTAAGAAGTTCCAAAGAATGTAACTTTTTCTCATTCAAGCTCATAGACCCCCTGAAATCTATCTAAGAGCTTTCAGGGGGTCTGTGTACCTCAGACTAAGAATTCCTGCTTTAATGACAAGGAATTAATATTTCACAAGACAGCTTTATCATAGTTGTCTAGTTCTGGTTATAAAGTTATTTGTTATAGTGAACTGAAATCTGCCTCCATTTAACTTTTAACTTGCTAGTCCAAGACCCACCACCCTCTGGTTTCAACTTAACTTACTGTGCGATTTGTTACCTGTATGGCCTTAGGCAAATTACTTTACTTCTCTGGGCCTTAATTCCTTCATTATGAAATTAAGGAATTGAAATAGATAAATATTGAGATCTTTTCCAATTTTAAACAGTAGGATACTCAATAAATCCTTCAAATATTGATGACAATTGTCATATCTGCCCCCCATTTTAGTCATCTCTTCTCTAAACCAAATAATTCTAGTTCATTTTCCCCTATTCCTTTCATGATATATTTCCGTGGTCATATCAGTACAGAATGGCTTGTTATGATCTTCAGGCTATACCTCTATTATGCAATTAAAGATCACGTTAACTTTTGTTGCATCAAACTATTGACTCTTATCAAGGTTATAGACATCTAAAACCATCAGGTATTATTTCATATGAATAGAAATTAAGCTCCCTAAATTCATACTTGTATAATTAAATCTTTAAAATCTAAATGCAGCACTTTTACATTTACCCTAGTTAAATTTCATCTCGCTGATTTCTCTCCAACATTCTAGACTATCATAATAATTTTCTATCTTGATTCTATCATTTATTATATTAACTTACTTTCTCTGCTTTACATCATCCTTAAATCTGATAAGCATATAAATTAAATCTTTATCCTAGTTAACAATAAAAAGATTGAATAGGACAGGGTCAAGGACAGAATTCTCAGTCACTCACTTTTAGCTTAGCCTAACACTTGTTTATGGTTGCTTGATCCATTTGAAAGTCAAATATTATTTAGTCCACATTCTACCACATTAACAAGGATATCTTAGAAGGCTTAATTCAAATGCTTTGCTAAAAGTATATTATGTTTATATCATTCTCTGGCTCTACTACACTTTGTATCCTATAAAATGAGAAAGTGATACCAGTTCAATATGATTTGTTCTTAGTGAACCTATATTGGTTCCTAATAATCAATAGTTTTTTTCTAAGTCCTCAAAAACCATAATTAGTAAAGCAATTATTTAATTGTTAATAAAACCATTCTAGAATATTTTTTTTTCGGTAAGTTAAGTGGAGTTAAGTGACTTGTCCAGAGTCACACAGTTTGTGAGTGTTATGTGTCTGAGGCCGCATTTGAACTCAGGT